TTTTTATCAAGAAAGATATACCCTCTCTTCGCCAAATTGTTCTTCCAAAAACCAGCATCCGCTCCTGCCTCCCCAAACCACGGTGCATAGAACTATAATAGCCGATCCCAACTGCTTCAGAGCCAGAGAGCTCCAGTGACTATTTTAGTTCGGTTTGTTAGTGTGTTCCCACATTGGTAACGTTTGCAAATATTTTTGCTTTGACAGTAATTGCATACTTCAGTTGTGAAGGGGCTTGACTAGCAATGCTGACGGCATTAGCAGGTCCACACGGCGAGTCTCCCAGCAGATGCACCTATTACTGTGCATACTGTTTACCCGCTTTTGGTGACATCGAGGCTGACCTTGGAGTCACCTCCCCCGCTGCCACATTCTCCTTTGTCGTACCACCATTTGTTTTTCAATTTGTCCAAGAGGCCTTGTTCATTCAGTTTTAAAACTGCGAGGTTAACAGCATTTCTTGAAACGATAAAACATATTTTGTAAGAAACTGCACAGCTGTTAAGATGTTAGAAGGAATGAGGACTTAAGCTCTTTCATAAGCTTCTCCCAGACGCTAAATAAACCTCTCATTTTGCCATTCCGCAGCCCCTTCCATCGGTTCAAACCAAAGGCAATCGTTAACTACTTCCAAACTGTATTAAACATGTGGTATTTAGTGCTGTTCACTTTCACAGTTCATTTATTGTCAAATAACCGACATCATCATCATCATCATCATCAACCAGTTACATGGATTGTTTTTCAAAACAGTAATAACTTGAATTTACTAGTAATTGAGAAAGAAGTGTGTCTTGAATTCCTTTGCTGAGAATGTCAATGATCTAAAAGAGACTGAAATGAAAATTCATTCCCAGAAGGAAGAGCATAATGGAATAAACAAACCAACAAATAGCCAGTAATTTTTGTCTACTGATTTACTGACAACAGAGTATGACTTGTTATTCCTCTTCTGTTTGTGGGAGTTTGGTTTGTTTGCTTGATTTAGCTGGTCTCAGAATCTAGGATTTCTATGTTTGGTTCAGTTTTGGGGCTGGAAGTCAAGAGAAAGGTAATAGTAGCTTTTAGTGAAAAAGCTGTTATATTTAAATCTTGTATTGATTCTTTTTTTTTTTTAAATCTTGTATTGATTCTTAAAGGCATTGGATGCTATTTAGAAGTTCAAAGCCAATTTGACTGTTTAAATTAAGTTACTAAACTCTAAATGTCATGCTGCATATGATGTGGACATGGAAAAAACACACCACTCTACATTAGATTTTCTCCATGCTAATCTCTATGGAGGAATAGAGGTGGTATATCCTAATTATTCTCTAAAAGGATTTATGAAAATATTTCATAGGCTCTTTCTTCCCATGCATTTGCTTCCTTTCTTGCTTTCAAGGTACAGTTTTTAAATGAGCTCTCTCTTTCAAGAGGTTTTCCCAGCCCTGAATGTAATTTCTGTTAAATCTAGAAGAATGGTTTAGATACTGAGAGAATATGGGTATAGTCTGTGCTATGCTATTTGATAAATACTGAGTTTGGTGGTCACTGAATGCCAAATGAATTAATAAAATAAAACCAAACAACCCCATATTAATGAGTAGCACTTGAAACTGATCATTCTGTTGACAAATAAAAAATGTTGCTTGTTTCTCTATGAATTGACCTGTTGAAGTGTTTGTTCTCTTAAAATGTGTTTGTAATATTTCAGGTAATTGATGCTCACTTTCCATGATGTTCATGTTATGATGGTCTGATCCATCTGGAGAGCAAACACCACTTTGAGAGTGTTAATTTACTAAGTGTTAATTAAATAATTAGCTTTCTCACATTCCCAAGTAAGTGCCACATTAGTGGTGTAAAATAATTAATATACTTCTTAAAGTAAACAATATCAGGTTTTTAGTTTAATCACCAGAAGGACCAGACTGAAATGTAGGCTTAATATTCAATGATGATAGAGACATCTGTTTTGTTTTTAAAATGCTGCAAATAAATTGTTTTATTTTGTGTCCATAAGAAACTAAATTTGTCTTTCAATGATTTAAACCTAATTGCTATTTTTTTGGAGAAAATTGTTTTTATGATCCACCTTTTTTAGCCTTAAATATTCATATTAGATTTAAAAAAAAATAAAGTGACATCCCAATTATTTTATGTGTTGGTTTAGACCATTCCTTTGAAAAACTAAAGTCATTTCATGAGAGGGTTATTTAACAGGGTTATTAGCCATATCCAAAGACAGTTTCACAGCACAATAGAAAACAAAACAAAACAAAATAAAGGAATGGATAAGGAAAAAGAGCTTTACATTGAGAAAATTGTTTGGAATAAGCTTCCTACAAAATTATTCTAAAAATTGTATTTCTTTATGTCATCTAATAGGCCATGTAAAAACAGTTTAGTTTCACACTGCTATCCACATATGAGTGTATATGTATCTATAATTGTTTAATATAATATACTTGACCAATAAATAACTCACTGCCCAGTTCACAATTCATTCACATGTTTTCCTTCCAGAAACATGTGGCCCCTCAGTAAAGTCCACTTTATCCTATCATATGTAAAATTAATTTTTCTTTAGTGGTGCAGAGAAGGCATTTTGTAATTAATATTTAGAGATAGTCTTCAGGGTTTCAAGATTTCCTTGCTTGTTAAAACTGCCTATTTTCTACAATTTTCTTTATACAGTTTAGGTCTAACAGCCTCTTAAAATTGCTATTAACTGCAGCATAAACCACATATGTAAGCATCATTTGAACATGTGTTCTATTTTATGGAATGCATTGCTTTGACATGTTATTAATGATAAGAATCAGCAAATGACTTTACAATATATATAAAGTTATTTCATTCAGTTTGCTAGAATAAATTTTAAAAAGTGTTCTTTACCCAAGCAAAAAGGAACAGGAACTCTGAAGGAGTAGTTCTAAGCAAGATTAAGGCAGCTATACAGGGTCAGGTAAATGAGGGACATAGGAAGTAGATCCCTGCAGCACATGTTCTCATTTGGTTGGAATCCCTTTCATGCATTTCATACATAGTTTTCAGAAACATATTGAAAAGAAGGGAATAAGTTCTCCTCATTAAGCATCAGAGAAGCTGTGATAGTGATCTGCTAAGCTGATAAGAGATAAAAGAAAAATATTATGGGTTCTTTCTTACATTAATTATTCCTTTTATTCTATTAAATGCAGTGTTTCCAGAGTAAAATGAATGGAAACATATTGTTTTCAATTAATATTTGAAGAGAGGAAAAAACAAGTGACTACATTATTGCTGGATGTTTAAGCCACATTTAAGAGGCCAGGTGTATTGACAATGACTTTTATAGATTGAAGAAAGACCCAGGGCACTTACTTGCCTTTGTCTTTTATGCCTTAGGAGAATTCTAGGTTAAAAAACAACAACCCTATTTAACTTTTCCCATAGTTCTGAGGTGATGGAGAACTTGATTCAGGGGTGAAAAGAAAATGCTCACCTGGACAAATTCCAGGCCTCTGGAAAACTTTGAAGGATTTTTAGTCCTAAAATTTCCTTCAATTGAATTTGGGATCATTAAAATCCATACCTCATTGGAACCCATTTTTGTTACCAAAAATCTGATTGAAATATCGCATACAATGAAAGTTTTGGGATGGGACCTAACAGACCTAACTTTTTCCACTTATTGATTTTGAGTAAATTAATTGGTGAAAAGTAAGATATTCTTACTATAGGCATGCTTAAGTCAGACTGAAATATTTACCTCTTACTCTCTGCCTTTTCAGAGTAACTTAACACTAACGTCTATAGATGTGATCATGCTTTTATGCTTACTTTAGGCCTTAATCATTATATTTACTTCTAGACCTACTTATGAGAGTGTTTTTATGTTGCTGAGGTTTTAAAGTTTACACTTGATAAAATGTCTACAGAAGTAGATAGAAAGCATTTTAAAAGTTTAAGTTTGGTAAAGTATTTTTATGATTTCAAAGATTTGTAAATATATTATTGTAAAGGACTGATATAAAAGCCCTAGATTTAGTCAATGTCAGCACACAGAATGTGTAGGGCACGTATAGTTTGTAGAATAAATAATTTGCAATATTACATTGAGCCTGGTTAAAACAAATTTAACATTTCATTGCTGGTAAGGATGTCAATAATGTATGGATCTAATCCAGTTTAGCTGTTTAAACTACTGTTTAATTTTGCTAGTGCGTTTTTATCCTTATAAGAAAGAATCCATTAGTTAAATAAACATGAGAAAGTCCCCTCAGTTTTAAGCCTGTGCTGTCTTAATTGGAGTGTTCTTTTCATACTAAACTCTCTATAACATTTAAATATCAGGTACTAAAATATCCAGAATATTTCCCTGAATGATGCTAAGTTTTTTTCATAGTCCCCAATGAATCTTAATATATTTTTAAATGCTTAAAAATTATGTGAATAACAAGAAATTGTGTAAAAAAAGGAAATCCTTTAAAATCAGCAAAGGACATTGGTAGATAATTCACACAAGAAGAAATACAATTCATATAAAAATAATCCAACCTTACTTGGAATTAAACTAATGTAAATTAAAACAATGAAAATTCATTTTTTGTCATTTATGTTGGAAAAGATAAAAATAAATATAATGTTCAATATAATCAATAATTTAATAAGATGGGTGTCTTCCAATTAAAATTGGAAAGAAATAATATGACCTTATACAATAAAAGGATAAAAACAGTTCTTATCAATAATCATTGATAATAATTCCCCTTTGAGGAATTATTTCTAAAAAATTAGTCAGTGATGCTGATAAAGTAACATAGGCATTGTACATTTACATGGCAAAACATTGCAAACAATTGACATGCCCAACAGAAGGAGAGAATTAATTAGATTTTGGTGCATAATAGTGGGAACTAATTAGATTTTGGTGCATAATAGTGGTCCTCAAACTTGAAATGAGCATTAGAACCACTTATTACAAATACAGATGCTCAGGCCTAACCACACCCAATCAAATTCTTCTGAATTGGGAGCAGGGTTTTGACATTTTTTACAGAGCTCCCCAAGTGGTAGTATTGATGAGCACCAATGAGCCTTATGACCGAATGTTATACAACTATTTAAAGCTTTTAAAAACAAGAAAAAAATGCTTATAGTATAATAAGTGAAAAAGAAAGAAGTTTATATATTCATTGTGATTTTAATATGTGAATAAAATATTATATGTATTAATGGAAAACTATAGCTATGGAGAAATTATAATTAATTTGGATTGCATTTTGGTCTTTAAGTTTCTCCACCCACTCAACATTTTTTTTTACAATGAGAAGTGATGCTATAATAATCACTAAAAAACAAAACCCCTCTCGATTATTTTATAATATCATGACTAATACAATTGTTTTTATGCAAACCAAAATATATATTTTATTTTGGGTCAAAAAACTGAGGAAGAGGTAGAATTTAGGAATTATTCTTAAGAATCTCAG